TTACGCAGACAGACGCTGAGCGAGTTAAATATTTAACTCTATCCTCCTCTTGCTTCTTTGTATATTGTAGTGAGCCTTATTCTGTTTTCTTTCTTCTTGTTGAAGTCCTCTCATATCGATGCTTTTGTTTGCATACTTTAACAACTTATTAACCAGGGAGGTCAAGTCTCTTACTCCCTTATCGTTTTCACATAACTTACATCCTACTTTAAATTTCACCCCTTAAATCCAATATTCTTTCCAGTACTCCCTCAACCATTTTTAACTTCGTTATTTATCCTTAATTCATCCCCTTATCCCTTACTGTTTCAGTTTTTTCTTGCCGAGAGGGAGATCTTCTCGAGTCATCAAAATCTCGTCTTGGTTCCAGCCGTGTAGAATAATCTCTCGAATCCCTCTCCCTAGAACTGCTATTGACTACGCTGCCCAGCTGCATAGAACAAAGATAGCTAAATTAACTCAATATTATTTATGCTGCATTGCTTGAGAAATTTATGCGTTTATAAAAAATTTACGCATTAGAAATATTTCCAAATTATCATTTAAGGAGGATCGCAACGCTAATGCTCTTGACTCAAAGGAAGAACGAAAAATATTTTTACATTTAAGTGACATTACCTTTGGCTTAACATTGTTTTGAAAGTGATTAATGACATTTCCTGGTGGTCGATATCGAGCCACGACAATAATTTTCCCGTTGCTACCCTTGGCCTTGCCTACTCCCAGTTCTGTTGACTCCTGCCACACAATCTGTGTGAAGTGGCCCGTGCCACTTTTGAATCCTGGGCTTCTAAAATCATAGCTGTTAAAGAAAGACGAGATATTCATGGCTTAGAAATAAATTGATTGCAGTGACTTGTGATCAAAAGTAGCCAAGTTCAATTTAATTAATACAAAGCCTTATCTTAAATAGCGGTTAGGATTCTAACACGAAAGATTTCGGCGAGTCACGACCGCAGTTAGATTATAATATCATTTTACGTTTCTAGTGTATCATTGTCTCCGGAACGATCATCATACACGTAACAATCGACGAACTTAGCCCCCCTCCTTTCCCATGATCCTTGTGAGGTCTTAATTACTAATATTCTAATCGCATTATGTTAATCGCATTTAAGAACAACTTGAATTAATGTCAAACGGAAAGGATAATTAATATGTCCTTACTTGTCGACTTCTGCGTACCACCGATCCACGATTTCTCCTCCGGTGACATCACTCTTGCCGGATACGGAATACAAGTTCTCTCCATCATCAGTATCTTCGTGTCTTAGCCTCCCGTCTTTAGCCAACTCTTTAGCCCACTTTTCCGCGTCCTTTTCTAGAGATCTTGACCACTTCAGCGGAGGAGCTTGATGGAGAGACCGGTATCTGTTGTGAGCTTCAAGTGCTTCTTTACCAAATTTGTCTGGCATCTTTTACCCTGTACCGTCAGGATGTAAACATTCTAGCTTAGGCAATAGTTATAAAATATAAGACATATAAATAATATTGAAATGTAAACACCCTACCCCCCGTTGGGCAGGTCTCTGCTGAGGAATATTTACCAGGATATCGCGATAGCATCAAGCTGGGTCACCTGTCGCTGTATCACCGCACTTTGATTAACTTTGGAAGAATTTAAAATTTTCATTGCCCAGCGTAACAGCAGAATTTTGTAAGTATTCAATTTTTGTTTTGCATGCATGGATAGTGATTACTTCCACGTTTACGGGGGGCTCTTAGAGAGATTGGCCATGGAAGGGAGAGTGAAGGGTTTTTTTGTCAAAGTTTTGGTTTTATTTAAACGTGCTTATTCTTAAGATTAGTTAATTCAAGAATGATAATGTTTTTGGTGAAGTTGATGAATTTATTTAAAATAGCACTTAGTTAACAGTTTGTGAGTTGAGTCGTCAGATTGCTGCAAGCTATGACAATAACTTGGGAGCAACTAGTCATTTTTTTAGGCATCAGCATGTAGTGACCAGCATTTAACTTCTCCTGACAGTAATACTGCTGAATCATTCGTTACGATTATGAGAATAAGGAACATCATCGCCAACCTTAGAAGCTTTTATTGTTTAACAAATTCTCCTCTTGAAAAGAATTGTATGGAAGACGACATGGAGAGTTTGAGTACTGAGGTTACGGCGTGACAGGTTAAAGTGAGCAACGTGTGGTGATCTTTTTGTTTGAGTACCGAGGTTACGGCCTGACAGGTTAAAGCGAGCAACGTGTGGTGATCTTTTTTTCAATTTGAAGCAAGAGTGTGGCTTTTCTTATCAAAATAATTGTGTGAATAAGTTTTATCCTCATAGTGTCGCTCAAAGAAAAATTCCAGTGTGATGCTAAAAGCACGAGGGCTTCAAAGTATAGTAAAAATATCGTGAAGGTTTTGATGTTCAACCAAAATGGTTGCAAGAAGGACGACTCTTGCTTTGAAGCATCGGGAGTTTTGTGCTTCAATAATCTTTTTTCTATTGGTTCCTGAATCAATTAGCTTTGTGCTTTTCAAGTATTCGACTTCTCGATTAAAACATAACTACTTAAAACTTATATTGGTCCGCATGATTTTCACTATCTTTTGATCTTCTCAGTGCAGTTCTTGTTGAAAGGTATTTTAAAAACAATACCTCTAACCACAATTAAGGTAAACCAAACTACTTATTTACTTACTTGATGGCCTCTGACGGCGTCCACTCTCAGTAGGGAAAATGGTCTATTAATTGAAAAATCAATTGGTCAACTTCATTCGAGCTAATTACTGATCCTTCAAAACTAATGAATACCACTCTCAATTCAAGATGTGTCTCACAGCTTCGGTCGTGATCAGCGTAAATTATGTTTCTTTGTATCATGTAAATGTCACGAGACGTAATAAGGATGGAGCGGGTCGAAACGAAACATTTAATCTCCTCTTTTGTTAATCCTTATCATTAATTACGCAGAAAAATCGGATGTCGTATATTAGTATATTTACATCATTCGAGAATACTAAAGATTTCCTTCCTGCATAACGAGTCAGCGTTGTTATCACGTTTCGCTGTCTTGTTCATACCCTTGTGATGAGGTGAATTTTTTCAAGTGAGCTTATCTTACCAACGTGATTTCCGCAATGTCAGATTTGGAAAAGCTTGTAATATGTCTTAGACGCCCAATACTAAGTAAACATAAAATGCATTTTGTATAGAGCGTCTGATAACGCGTCCTGCACATATGAAACTTTCAGGTTTTTTAATATCTCAAATTAAATTTACTGAAGAATAAAAAGTTTTAACGTCTTTGTTTTCACATCAAAATCTATTAATGAGCCTTCATTTACCTAATATTGGTCAAATGCTTACATTTTAGTTCTTTACCTTTTCTTTGGCTATTGTCCGTTTGGTTTCCAAACTTTCTATCGCTTCTTTCTGTCAAACTGAGCCCTACTAGTGCGACCTTCTAAGTAACAATGGAATGAAATGGCGCGCTGTTAAGTGCTCGCCTCTAGCCTCGTCATTCCATTTACCTAACGTGAATGCAAATCAACAATACATAACAAAGTGCCAATCACGTACCAAGACTGCTCAAGCGAAAAGTATAAATGCGTGATAATAGACTTACAGCGAGAACGAGCTGCGCTAATAGAGATTTTTTTCAAAGGAGATGTGACACAGCTGTGTCGATGTTTCTTGTGTCTTAATAAGTTTTAAAGTCACGCAAAGTAGTTTGCGAATTACTGAGTTGCCTGGGCGAGCTGTTCTGTTTGTTTTCCGCATTCAAGGTTAAATATATTAGCATCAGGCTAAGGTTAATTACCGTCAAGTAACTTCGTATGAGTTTTAGAACTCAACGAATGAAAAATTTAATACAAAGAGTTTGAACGGAAACTAAAACGTGACCTCACAAGTACGTTTTTCTGTCCTTTCACTTATAATTAAGTTGTAAAGGAATCCACGTTTATCCGGAATTCTTTTGAAACACTAGAGGATCTTGTAAATAACTGACGTCAGCCCATTGACTTCTTTATTCAGTTCGGCTTCAATGGAAGAAAAACAACCCTCTTAGAAACGCATAAACACTTTCAATGTTTTTGTCTGTGGATGCGTGGGCCTCATTGTGAGTTTTATTTTTCTTTCTCCTTTCTACAATAACATATTGTTGGTTGGCTTTTTGTCGAGGCTGCAAGCGTTGATGAGCTTAAGTTAATTTAGCAGAAAGCACTTATTGATAAATTCGCGCCCCATGTATGTCAATAGAAAACATTTAAAGATGTTTTTAACCGCCGAAGTTAATACCGTCAATCGTCGTCAAAACTTTACCTACAGTAAGTTGTGTAATTGATTTCTCCGTCCAGTTTCATTAAATATACGGGGAAAAGGCGACGAAATTAGACAAATATATCTGTTCAACATAGGAGTGCAACATTGATATAACGCCACATTCTCTTGACCAATTCAAAAGGAAATACAAAGCAGATCCAAATGAGAATTGCTATTTAGAGCTTGGGAATTATATGGACGGCTAAGATTGGACCTCTTCAATTGAGGTAACTTCAGGACACACTTACTTATTTTGATGTATCTACCTTATCCATCAAACGGGTCATTAGAGTCAATGCAGTCCTTTATACGCAAAGCAAGCCAAGATTACAAAGATTAGAGCAGGGTACTGAAACACCTATAAAACGAGGCTAAATAAAAAGCCGCTTCTTTTCTTGTTTAATCCTTCACTCCCTTAGAGCGACTCGCATCTAAATTTCCCCTAACAGTATCCCAGGTCGTGAGAACAGAGAGAAAGATCGCCATCTAAGGAAGCTCTTGACTGTTAAACAAATTCTCTCAGTCACTTTCATAGGGAATGCATACTTAGAACAGTGTGGAGAAAATGCATGATGATATTAGGGTGTAAGAGGGTCTCATTTCAACTTGTAAAGCTTAATCGGAGGGTGAAGATGGTTGTTCTCAAAAATTCTCGTCGGCTGTATTTAAAAAAATAGAACTCTGTTTCGAAAAATTCACACAAAGTGATGTTCAAACTCGTACAAATTTCAGTCTGCAGTTTATTTTCTCCTTCACTCCAGTACAAAAGTAAACTAACTCCCTGAGTATTTTATTGATTAAATCTGTCATTATTTCAAAAGTTCCTATAGGTATAACTTATGGCTAATGCCATAACACAGCCACAAAGATTTTAAATGAATTTTTGGTCCTTAATGAATTCCGGTAAAGCTCATGTTCTTCCCAGGAAAGTGTATTTGCCCTTAATTCATTTCCTCGCATTTTCACCCCTTTTGGCATTATTACTGATTAAAACATATAACATATATAACTTCATATTATCGTTTATAAGAATGAGCCATGATAAACTGATTGAGCATAAGGGTAGAAAATCTATTTTTTAAGAGTTATACCTCCATTATTCAAGGATTTTTCATTTCATTATTATGGAAAGACTGTACCTTTTCAGATTAATTTAAATTGTGGCTATTATTATGTTCTTAATTCCCACATTACAATGATTAAGTAAAAACCCATTTCTTGTTAAAATGATAGCTTCATAATATCATTTTAATTATCCCAATATCTATTATCAGCATACAGAGAATAAGCACCAAGTTGGTGGCTTTGTCTAAAAATTTATCTTTCTATTTATCCTTTATAGCTATTCTTGCTCCTCTTTGCTTGATCGTTTTGTTGTTTTTTTTTTATTACTTTTACCCCGATGATCGGCAATGATGATCTACAAATGCTATGCACTTTAAAATTAAATTTTTCTCTTCTCATCCCTTAAAAACATTTTCTTGGAAATGATTGAGCAAATTTCCTGCAGGATTGTACCTTGCCACCACGTACGTAAGCTTCCCGTCAGCGGTCTGGGCCCTACCCATTCCCAACTCATTACTCTCCTTCCACACCACTTGCGTGAAATGCCCAGTGTTGCCTTGGAAACCAGGTTTATCGAATCTGTAGTCTTTGACTTCACTGTACCACATGTTTGTCGCTTCATCAGCAGCTGTTTCAAACCTGCCAGAGAACATGGCGATGTTCTCACCATATCCTTTACGTTCCTTTTGCGTAGCGTGCTGCAGTTTACGTGCACGTGCCAATTTCTCGGCCCAGGCCTGTGCTTCCTTTGCAATCTCGTCCGACCACGTCAGTGGTGACACTTTATGCTTGGTGCGGTATTTGTTGTGAGCATCAAGGGCCTGTTTTGCAAAACCCGTTTGTGACACAGAGCTGGGGGCTTTCGGTCCTCCTTAAAGAAAGAAGATAAGACTAAGACGTGCTCTCAATTTATAAACATACAAACCGAGTTTTCATGGCAAAGATTGGAATAAACAAAATTAAGTAGAGTGTCTTTATGGCTAACGGTTTAAATTTTGGCTATTTTCCCTCTTTTCTGTTACATTTAAACGAAAAACCTTTTCAATTTTTTCGGCTAACGGCTAAATTTTTTGCTATTTTACGGCCAATGGTTTACCTCACTGAGACCCTCTAAGTAAGACTCTCATTCCGCACCACAGAGGATTATGGTTTACCCAAGGAGTGATTCATCTGTACAATTTTTCTCAAAAATAAACACCTTTGGTGAGTCCGCGGTTTAAGCCGGATGCACTACTCCTTTTCATCAGAAGTGAATAATTTTTTATTGAGATATGTTTCCTTGAGTAAATTGGGTAAAAAAGCTAGTTACACTCAGCATAAAGGAAAATGATATCGGAATAATTTACACTGTACAGATTTGTGTCAGAAATTGTCAACACAATTAAATGTCTTTACCTGCAGTTGAACAACTCTTAGAAGGCTTTGGATCTTGAGTAGGCGGAGAATCTGCATGAAAACACAAATATATGTATTCATTTGCAACCGCACTCCAAGCTCAACTTAGGGTAATAGAACAATTAGTGGGTGATTGGATGAGTGAGTCAGT